CAGAACCGACATCATGTCCAAAGACGGAGAAACTGTGACTCCTGAAGCTTTCAGCTAGGTAGCAGAGCGAGATGGGGAAAAAGTTGTGTGTCCACGGTGACCACCGACTGGTTAGCAAACTGGCAGAGCCTGGCCCCAAGCTAGTCCTCATCTACGAATTCTAGGTTGTCTCCCCTTAAATATGCTCCGACCAAAGCCTGAACGACATCACCAACCTTGACCCCCAAATGGACCACCTTGACCATGGACAGCTCTCTAAGATCCAAATAATTGAACCATGAAGCCCACCGGAGCCAGGAGGCACCCGACGGCGGCGACCATCGCGAGTGGCGGCGCCGGAAGGGTAGCAGAGCAACCTAGAAGATTTCTAGTGAGATAAATAGCTCTCAACTCAGATAAATGACTATGTATCATTTTTTCCTCTGGCAAGTGAGTCTGAGTCTCTCTGGAAGAAAAATATGTTTCTGAAAACCCCAAATCTGATAATGTTTATATTCCAAAGGTCATCCGTAAAATTGCGGACTTGCACAGATCTTTGAAAACTGAAAGAGAGGTTTTCGCTCAAGTTCATCAAGATGTCAGTCGTCTAGCTCTGTCACACACTATTCTTGTTCGTGTTCTTTTGATGACTCTAGATATGTGTTTTCTTATTTTAATGCAGACGTTAGCAAGCCTGAGAAACTTAAGCAAAGGGCTAAGACTTCCAAACCTCATTGTGATGTGAATTATGGAAAATCTAAACATAAGAGTTTGGGAAAAGGGTCAGATAGGTCCTCGAACTTACATAAAAAGGTCAAATAAGCCCTTATATAGGAGGATCTGTCCGACCGTCGCCATTTGGAGCAGTTCCCGGTGGATTTTTTTGATGAAATTTTTTGAGCATCTTATTTATTAAGTCTAGTTTACTCATACCACATTTCAGCTAAAACTTCAATCGGGAAGGCATTCAAATGAAAGCACAGTTATCTTTAAGAATTCATTTGAATGCCTTCCCGATTGAAGTTTTAGCTGAAATTTGCTAGACTTTATGAATAAGATGCTCAAAAAATTTCATCAAAAAATTCCACCGAGAACTGTTTGTGATGGTGATTATCTGACTTATCCCCCAAGGTTTATTCGGCCAAACATCAGAAACTGTTATTAAGGAAGAAAATCTTTACTTCTACAAATCAATGTCTTGGAGAAAAACATGGAGATAAATATTCGCTTCATGTTCCATCATTCATCTGCGCTGAAAATTCTCCAACACCGGCAAATAATCTTCAATGGGTTCCTAAATCAGAATCCCTTCATATAGCTCTCCCAAAGCTTCAAAAAATGGCAGGTAAAAATAAAATAAATAAAAAAACAAAAAACAAAAACAAAAAACAAAAAAAATGACGAGCTGTGGGCAATCAATCAGTGCACGTTATCAAGGGAAGTATTGGCGTGTATACTTTCAATTGAGCATACATTCTCCAAAGCACACTTCCACAATGTCACAACAGTGGCAATATTCTTCCAGGTACTGTGGTGGATAGAAAGATATGTCACCCAACTGAACCGTCCAACCGACAACCATGTCATGTATGATGAGAACAAATTCACTGCGGATGGTTTGCGAAACCTGACAAACTCCTTGTGCTACACCTATGTGCGGTGCACCAACTCAGTCTCAATTGTCTTGCCAATGTACTATGTGCATCTAGCTGCGTTCCGAGCAAGGTATTACATAGAGGAAGAAGAAATATTGACATATAACGAAGAATGCACATTCTAAGGGGGAGTTTCACTTATCTCTTCCTAACGCCATATAGTGAACAATGCAAGAGTTTTCTCAAGGATTGGCTACGGGGTCAAAAGAAGATGAATGAAGCTTGAAAACGACGATCAGGATGACCTTCTGTCAATCGTTCAAGCATATCTCTTTGTAGAAACATCCAATGTACACGATTCAAGTTCCATATGAAAGCTAACTTCAAAGGCTACAAATGATATGAAGACACCTTTGCGAGAATCTGAGAGAAAGAAGGTGAAAACAGACAATGAAGTCAGATGATCTCTGCTGCGATTTCAGAAAGACACCTTCCACCGTTTTGATCATATCTCTTGATTGAATGATTCAAATCACATTAGGAAACTTGGGGTGGATAGAGGACTTCATTATCTACAACTTTCATGAAGGAATAATTACCAAATTCGGAAGTTAAGTAGGCAAGATCGTGCCCTCAAAGTCAGGCACGGTCGTGCGTGAAGAGAAAGCACCGCGGAGTTACTGCCAGCCAGGCACGATCGTGCCTGGAGGGAGGCACGATCGTGCCTTCCCAAAATGCGCGTTTTTGCTCCGGAGGCACGATCGTGCCTGGCTCCGAAAATCCTAATTCAGCTCAAATTTCACCCGATTTTTCTATTTAAACAGCCTGTAAACCCCCGTTTTCAAGGGGGAGCTTAGAGAGAGTCCCTAACACGAATTTTAGAGGGCTTTTCAGCCTTGTTCATCAATCTTTTTGGATTCTTTGTAAGTTCCACCTTTTTAATTAATGACAATTAATTCTTTTTATTCCAATTCTATTGATTCTTCAATTATGAATTGTGAGTAGTTTTAATAAGGGATTTGGGATTGATGAAGGGGTTGATCATGATGTATGGCTAGATTCCTTTCGGTTTAATTGCATGAATGTCGTTTAATTTGTGTTTGAATAATTTAACTGATATCTTTTGTGACCTAGAACGCGCGCTAGAATTACAATTGCTTGTAGAATAAATTAAGAGAGATCTAGTTTATTCTAGGACACCTTCACACACACTTAATTGTTGGCTAAGAGATTAGTAGCGATTAAGGGGCCGTAAGCTCGCTCGTCTTGACAATAATTTAGGATCCTGTCGCAGGAGAGATCAACCTGGTCCCCTAAATTATTGTACTCTACGCCGCGAGAGCGGTAAGAACTTAGTAATGATTAGCTAGGCTCAATTAAATTAATTTCATGTAATTAAGCCCGATCTGCTAGAAATGTGATTACCCCGGAATCAATCCTTGTTCCCTTCGTCATTAATTAGAAAGAACCCCCTAGTTTAATCGTTTTAGTTGCATTTTAATTTTTCATACCAATCATATCTCGCACGACGCATTTATTTTATTTATTTTTTTTAATCGCTGAATTTAATTAATTCTTGATTCCCTTTTGTCCGTCCCTGTGGAGACGATACTCATACTTACACCACTATATTACGATCTATTTTAAGTGCGAGAAAACACACATCAATTACCCAGCAAGTGGTATATGAAAGTAACTGTTATGAGAGATAGCAGAGACTTGAGCACAATGTCAACCAACAAACTCATCAGTGATCTGCACGCCTATGAGTTTGAAATGAAGGAAATCAAGGAAGAAGAAAAAGAAGAAGCAAAAACACTGGCCTTTGCGTCAGAATCATCTAAACCAAAGGAAATGGAGAAATCTTCAAACAACCTTCTTACTAAAGAACAGTTTGCTATGTTTGTAAGGAAGTTCAAAAGGTTTATCAAGAAGGAAGAACCGAGCACGTCAAGGAGAGCACCCAACTATCCACCAAGAAGAGAAGGAAAGTTCTCAGGTAAAGATAATGTTCTCTGTTATAACTGTAGAGAACCAAGACATTACATGAGTGAATGTCCATTCCCAAGTAAGTTAACAAGTATCAAGAACAACCAATACCTAAGAGTAACTTCAAACAACAAACCTTCAAAAGCAAAAGACAAGCTTTTTGTAAGTGAAAAGAAAGAAAAACTCAATGAGGAAAGTGATGAAAGCTCGGATGATGAAAGCACCAGTTCTGAAAGCTCGGAAGAAGCATTGTTCTATCTATGGCTCATAATCAGCAGCCAACGGTTGCAAAACAGCTTCCTACTGCAGACTTCACCAACCATTGCAACTCACAACCAGATGTCTCATGGCAAGATCTGATGACAATGATGAGGTAATATCTCACTCTTCTGATCTCACTACTCAGATAACTCTGAATGTTCTAGCCCAAATCTTGAATCCTTGCTAGCTGAATTTGAGAACATTCAGAGATCCCAATTTCTGTTGAAATCTGAGAATGAAAAACTAAAAGAGAACTTGAAAGTAGCCCATGCACAATTGGGTGAATTCATTCGATGTAAAGATCTCTTGGAAGCTGAAAACATTCACTTAAAGGAAAAACTGAGTAGGATAAGAAACCCTCCCACTGAAAAAATTCAGAATAATTGGAAATCGGCAGGAGTACTAGGATATAGGCTGCTCTATAAACCATTGAAAAATTCTTCACCTACCATCCATCAACAAAGCCATCAAAACATTACAAAGAAATCAGCCAGCTCCCAAAGGAAAATCCAAACCATTACCCAAAAGGAACCCTCACTACCAAAAGACCAAATATCAGCCATCTTGGCAACCAGTCTCCGGATCTAAACAACCAACTTTTCAAGTAAAAATGATGTCTAATTTTGACTGATTATATATTTATATATAAAAGTATTGATAATATGAAAATGGTATGAAACTGTGTTTTGCTAAAAATAATATCACCAAAGTATAAAGTTATTAAATTTTGCATAAATATATTACTACCTCCGTCTCATAATAGTTGTCCACTTTCAATTTGGCACGATTATTAATAAAATGGTTGAAAAGTAAAAGTTGTGATTGAGATTTGAGTAGAATAAAATAAAATGATAAAGACCACATATTTCTTGCCAAAAAAGAAAATAAGACATTCATTTTGGGTAAACCAAAAAGGAAAGTAGTATAACTAAAATGGGACGGAGGGAGTAGTTAAAATAATTGATCAAAATTTATCACGTTTGACTGAAAAAGTCAAAGATGACTAATTAAAATGGGACGAAAGTACTAATATTAGTAAGAGTATACTAGTCTACTAATCTTTTTAGTCTTTTTTGGAATTTAAAAAAAACTCTTTCTATCCATTAGCTAATTTTTATGAATATTCTTGTCCTAAGCCTTATATTTACAACAAATCTTTTTCATTTCCCAAGTAAACGGGCCCTAACATTTCTTAGCATTTTTAGCTGAAATACCCCAAAAAACCGTTACAAGAGTATTCTTTCCTCTCCCACCTGACATTTTTAGCACAGTGCGGTGCTGCGGTGGCTAACAGAGGCTTTCGCCAATCGCCACCCTATCTTTGCTTTTATGGAGCAGCGGCTTGCGTTTCTCCCGAGGCGAGGCCGACGGAAGAAGCAAACCAAAGTAAAGTGCACTTTTTTCCTTCTCTCTTTGCTGAAAAAGCAAACCAAACTCGATGACGAAGAGGGCTTTATTTGCTGGACAAGCCCTCTTTCACAAAAGGAGAAGAAGAAAGACATTTGACAGAGACAATTTGTTAGACGAACAAACCAAAATCTCGAGCGGGCATTGAAGTTAATTTGAATTAAAGGCGGCGTACCATCACATCCAATTCTTTACTTGCTGGATGAGAATCCAAAAGCTAATAAAGCTCCTCACTCACTTGCCTCGCAATTCTCCAAAGTAAATCCTCCACTGCCCTCTTCCGTGTATATATACGCACTTGATCCGTGATGCAGCTGATGTGCATTTTCCCTTTGTTCTTCTTCCTCAATCAGTTTCTCTGGATTTGAAGCAGAATAAGAGGGGCTATAATCGGATATTGTTATTTCTGCTGGTGTTTCTCAATCTCAAGTCATGGCCAGTACCAGTGGTACTAAGTCGGGTATGGGTTCCCGAAGGTTGAATAGGGCAGGCACTATGCTGGATCCCGCTGTAGGAGAAGACTGGACCAACTTCAATAGTGAGAAAGTCCCCGCCGCTATCGAATCCATTGCTCCCATCCTCCGCGCAGCAGATGAATTGGAGAAAGAAGATAGTAAAATTGCTTATTTGTGTAAGTACAGCTTTTTCCTCCCATTTTCTCCATCAATGTCCTTTTCTGTACTTCTAGTGTTCAAATGAACGGTTATAGCTTTTCCCTTTTTGAAGAAACTGTCAATAATAATAAGAGTAAAACAAGTTCACAAACAAGGGCTTATTATATTTTATTTCTGAAATATGACTTATTTAGTCTTAAGCGAAGAATACAAAAGAAGTTTAAACTTCTTTTCTAGGAGTGAATATGTCCTATTTAGTATTTTGGGAAAAACAACAGCTGCCCTGATTAAAGAATTGTGTTGTGGTTTGGTTTGGTTTCCTTCTATTACTATAAACGTTTATGTCTTTGTATATGCCCGTGAAGATGTGAAGCTGGTGCGCGTAGGCCTAATAACTAACTTCAATGGAGGACATCATTGCTATAAAATATTGCATTCTCTGATAGCTTCTTTATGCTCCCTGACATGACCAAGTTATAATGAGTCAAAAAACCATTAATTCAGCATCACAAGTGAATGGGTATTTCTAAGCAATCCACCTAATTGGGCACCTTTTACCAATTGCAATTCATCTAATCGTTAACCTCATTCCAATTCATTGATTTTGACCAGATTTTCATGATCAGAAGCCAATTTTGCAAAGGCTTCTTTTTGCCTTAAAGTTGGTGGAACTATGAAAGATGTAGAGCTTGATACAAATTTTGCACTGTTATTGATACTGCAATGGGATTTGTTCAAATTGGGGGTTTTAATTAAAAAAGTTTACACAGGTATTGTTCTGAAATTTTGATTTGTAGTTTCTAAAATGAAAAATAGTTTGGAATTAATTTTTGCATGAAAAAAATGCATAAATTTGGGGAACATGAATGAGAATGGATCGCATATGGAGTAATTGCTACTTTAACTTATTTGTCGGTTTAGTTTTAAAAATGTGTGTGATTGCAAACTTGTGACTTTCAGTTCTTTATAACTAATGTTCTAAAAGGCGCTAGGCGCTAGTCGGGGACATAGTAATTATAGTTTTATTAATATTTTTGCATAAATATGAGTAGTAATGTTGTGTTTGTGTGTATATAAAATATAAACACACACATACACACATTAACATGCATGAATGATAAGAGTTTCCACATTTAATAACATATTATACCTACTAACTTCTTAACTTCAAGTAATACTACTTAATAATAATTATTACTACCTCCGTCCCAAAAAGATTGACCATTTTGACTTTTCTTGGTCAATGGTGTTAAAGTTTAGAAAATGATTTTAGATATTATATTTATGTGTAATTTATAAATTTATACTTTTATGAAAGATTTTATAATAAAGAATATGCTAATATAATTTTTATATTTTAAATAATTTTGTATTAAAAGATATCGTTGGTCAAACTCCGACACCATTGACCAATAAAAGTCAAATTGGCCAATCTTTTTGGGACGGAGGGAGTATTAAATAATAACAACACTTAAGAATATATGAAGTATATAAACATGTATAGTATTTATTTTAACCTACAACTAGTAGCTTTCTTTATATGTGTTGTTAGAGTTAGAGATACATATATCTCTTAGAATACTAAAATAAAAGGCAAAATAAAATGTTCGATAAATCTAGATGCCTAGGCGGCCGATTAAGCGCTCTAAGCGGGTAGTTAGGCGCCTTAGGCAGCCGACTAATTCACCTAGGCGCCAAATCAATTAGTCGGAGCCCCTATACTAAAATTGGGGCGCCCGACTACCGCCTAACGCCAAGGCGGGGACTAGTCGGGCGCCTAGAGCGATTTTTAGAACAATGTTTATAACTCACTTTTGTTGTTACGGATAATCGTGTTCTTCTTTCACTGAATTTTTTATTTTTTTGAGAAGGCCGATTTGTTGCATTTGAGAAGGCTCATACTTTGGATGCGAATTCAATTGGACGTGGTGTTAGACAATACAAGACTTACCTGTTAAGCTTAGTACAAAAGGTATGTTCTATCTTATGTTTTTCTTTTCACACATCTTCTTAATTCTTATGGGTATATATTTTCGAATAATCTAATCCTACAAATGCCTTTTGGCTCCCATGTGTTGTTACATTTCAAGTTTTATGAGTGATTTAATGATAAAATATGATAACATGATGTCTCACATTTACTTGTTCGTCATAGATTACCACAATATTTTAGTTTGCATATTTTATTCTTTGTGCTGTTCGCTAAAAAGGGGGGAGTTCCTTTGAAAATTAAAGATCCAGAGTGGAAAACCTCTGAAAATTTCGTCCTAGGCACCCTCTATAAGCTCTGTAACTGAAAACAGTGGTTTAGAAGCTGTTTAAATAGAAACATATCAATCCGGGCCGAACTGGGACTGCAGGTCGTGCGCTCGGCGTGCGGACTCTCCCGGAGTCACCAATTCATCCCGCACTACGTGCGGGAAAGGTCGCGTGGTGTGCGGGTCTTTCGTCCAATTTTTCTGAAGTTGTCACCCCCGCTTGGCGTGCGGACCTTCCAACTTGACTTTTTGGCCATTTTTCTTCCCTTTTCGCCTGCGTTTTCTCCCGTGTTTGATTCTTCGACTCTCTTGACTTCAACAAATGTCTTCTTCACTTGCCGTGATTCCTTGTTGCTTCATAATTGCTCTCAAAAACGTTTCCGACCCTCAAATCAACCTCTCCAACGCCGGTGCCGAGCTCATTTTCCTGATTTTTACTTTAAAAATAGGGGGAATTTGACTTTGCACCTCATGTTTTAGGCGATATTAGACTTTGCACCCCATATTCAAAATTAGTAATATTTGCACCCCATTAGCTCAAAAATTGTGAAGGAGTGAGGTGCAAAGTCAAATGATTATATAGTGAAATAGGGTGAAAATATTAGTGATTTTGAAAATGGGGTGCAAAGTCAAATTCTCCCCTAAAAATATTAAACATACACCAAAACCCGGTAAACCATGACCTGAACTAACTATGAGTCTTGTGACACACTTAAGCTAGAAAAACTCACAAAAACCAATCTCAACACGCATTAAATACGTGTTGAAATACGGACTTATCAAACTACGTGAGAACATATGTAGTTTACATCTACTTAATGCCCCACACGCTATGATATCATTCCCCAACAACAAATCTGGAAAGAGATGAAGCATCCATGCAAAGGGAGGTTGTTTGTCACAAGAAGTGACATTGTTCATACTTCTTATATCTTTGGTGGCTACACTTTCATTGTTGCTATTCTTTGCTGACTCTTTAACCTAAGGACGATGAATATAAATTATACTACTAATTGTCTACAGTTTTTTTTGTTTTCTTTTTAAATGTAGAACTGTTAGAAATAGTATAAGTGACTTACTCATTCATAGTTATAACCAATTATAAGGTTAGATATAAGGTTTTTTTAACTGGAGTGATGATCTCCTTTACCCCCTTATTAAATTTTTTGTTGCTCTGTATGTTCTTTTTTGCAAAAAAAAGAAAAAGTAACTCAATTAGTCATTTGATAATAACCAGCACACACTTGTGTATTTAAAAGAAAGAAACATATTACGAAGTATTGTTACTATAACCAACTTCATCATCATCATGTGACAGCATCATCTTTTAGTTGAAAGTAAAAATAGTACGAACTCTTTAACTGGTATATGAAGATAACAGTGAAAATTTGTAAGTAACAATTAAGGGGGTGACAATGATGATGAGGAGTATATCAAAGCAGAAGTTGTTCAAAACGCTGCAACATATAAGTATATTGAATGATATTTTTATGATCTGTTGCATTGAAAACATGAAACTGCAATTCAACAATATTACTTTGAGGTGAGGTGTGGTTTTTATTCTTTACCACTAAACTGAGTGCGAAGAATGTTCGCTTGGTAAACCTAAGAGTTAAAAAAAGCACTAAAAGATTGTGAATCAGCAAAAATAATATTGTGATTTGTGAGCATACTATATGTCATTGAGTGATTAACTCAAACTAAATTTAGAAAAAAAATACAGAAATCACAAAACCAGATTATTATTCAAGCATGTACAATCTCCAAACCAAATTATCATTCAAACATGTACAACTTTGAGTAGTTCTGTATATTCCTTAATCCTTATGAAAGAATATCGTATAAGAGTATGTGATATATGAGTAGCTTCATGCAATGTTTACATTTTTATCAACTTTGTTCTACCCTTATTGTTTATAGCAATTTATATTATAACGGCTATTTAAGGTGTGAGTCAACTATTTGAACATGCTAATCATTGTAATGATTTAATTATTATACTCTTAACCTGTGCAGGGAGGGGGAGCGCCTATACTAATCCTAACTTCAATTATTATACTCTTAATGGCACCCATTGGGAAAAATAAAGCTCTTCTAAAAAAATACCCTTAAAACTTAAACATCATAGCAAAAACAACCCCTCTATACTAAAACACCCAAGTAATAAATGTTTGGATAGTAATTCCACATATTTTTTTTGTTAAAGTATTTTATTATTACCAACATCATCATCATCATGTGACGGCCGGGTCATTGCTTACACTGATAACCGAAGAAGTTGTGCCATCTTCTAGTTGAAAGTAAAAGGGAAAATTGTCAATTTGGTCCTCGTACTTTCACGAAAAAGTCAATTAGGTCCTTGTACTTTTAAAAAAATCAATCAAATCCCCGAACTTTGTAAAAACGTTCAATTGAGTACATTTGCAGGTTACTTGTCATGTCATCAGGTCACCCGCTGACGTGGCGCACATATGGCGGTCCACGCGTACTGCGCCACGTCATCAACAATAAATTTCTGTTGGCGCACATTTGCAGGATCATTGAGCAGATATTTGACGAAGTAGATGACAGCATAAAAGAGAAAAAATTTCTTAGAAGATTCAATTTGAAAAAGCTCCCTTTACTGAACAATAAATTGGAGACGTTTTTAGATATTATGGTTAGTAATTTCACAATTCTTTGTCCAAATCCAACCTTTATCTTTTCAGTTCAACTTTTCTGAAAGCTCTAGAAAGGGTACCGGTATTGTTCATGCAGGTGACAACCGTGACATAAACAATTTCAAATTTGCAGGTAAATGACAGTGAAGTCCATGGGGATGAGACGCAGAGAAAGTCACGATTGGTAACTCTCCTCCAGGATGCTTTTGAAATTTTCATTCAGGATGTAATGGTTGATGGAAATAAGTGAGTTTTTTAGATAACTCATTTGTAGATTGCATATACTTATTGTTTTATGGATATAAGACAAGCTTTCAAATATCACTGATTTGTAGAATCATGAAAGGATCCCAGAAAAAAATGAAAGGCGAGGAAAAATTTCAGAATATAAACATGAAAATATGTAAGACATCTTGGTGGGAAAAGGTAACACGTGTTTTAACTTTCTGCAAAGATTCTTTCCCGTGCTTCCCTTGTGCGAATGCTCTTTGTCTTTTGGTTTCACTCTTTTACAGGTTGTTAGGCTCCATTTGCTATTGACAGTAAAGGAGTCTGCAATGAATGTGCCAATGAATTTAGAAGCGCGTCGAAGAATGACCTTTTTTGCGAACTCTTTGTTCATGAAAATGCCATCTGCCCCAGAAGTTCGAAATATGCTGTCTTTCAGGTTCATTTCCAAAACATAATTAAGGGGTGTTTGTTATATAGCCATTGAGTACTTAAGTTTATCCTAGTTATTTAGGTCAATGCCAAGTTGCAAGTTTGACATTAAAAAATGTTTTTAAATAATTTGTTGGTTCTCATTTTGTCAGCTCTTATGGAGTTGTGGGATTTGCATGCACTAATTAAGAAGCATTATTGCTCTTCCATTTCATTGTAAAGTGTGATGCTCTTATTTCACATACCTTTAACTTGTATGCTAAAAGTGAAGACAAGTCCGAGGTAAACAATTGTATCTCGCAGAATATTTTAGAAAGAAGATGGAAAAAAGTTCAACTTAAGGACACTAAACACTTAAAGACTAGTGCAATTCATTATTAGCAAACATTATTAGCAGACTGTTTAGGGTTTAGGGTTTGGAAGCAGCAATTTTATTGTATGCTTGCTATTTATTTTTAATAATTAGACTATTTATTTTTCTGTTGGTTACTTTTATTGTTGTAAGACTTTTGTGTTAAATTCCCACACCGAAAACTTGTGAAGGAATAAAATGCTATATTAAGACATGGGTTACTCCTCCTATCAGGTTGACCTTTTAGGATGGAACCCCGGGTCTTAACATGGTATCAGAGCCTAATCGATGCATGGTGTGGGCCCCCTTATGAAAAATTGATGACACGATTATAAAAAAAATTGACAATGACAAACCGACGAAAAAATGAATGACGACATGATCTAGACGAAGTGTCTGGTCATCAGGAGGGGTGTTGAATTCCCACACCGGAAACTTGTGAAGGAATAAAATGCTATATTAAGACATGGGCTACTCCTCCTATCAGGTTGACCTTTTAGGATGGAACCCCGGGTCTTAACATTTTGCATTAGGATTGGGTGATGGGAGGTCTGCTTTAACCGTCGTTGGCTCATTTGTGCCCATTATAGGATCAACGAGTTATATTGCTTTTCTGGAGGTGATTGACTCTAAGTCTGGTTCGAGGGCTGGCGGTTGTCTGTGCTCCTTTTGTCGTTTCACCCCCTATCTAAATGTTTTGATATCAATTTAAGTCATCTGTTTTGACGATAAAAAAAACGTAGAAATCTATAGAGCTGAACTTAGAAACTTGGCCTTCTTTTGGACCGAACTTTGGAAATTTAAACTTGAAAACGTGACTAGAAACAATTAAAGGTATCCATTGAGCATTTTCACGTCGAACTTGAATTTCACTTTTTTTGTTACTTTCACTTACTTGGACTTGAGTTTAACTTTGCTTGAGGAAAGTTTTCACTTCATCCTTCTTGTTCTTCCTCTCAATTCCTTCTTCGGTTTTGTCTTATTTGTTGAATAGATGAATCATGTGGTCTTCTTTTTGTGTCGAGTTTTCTGAGGCAGTCTTCTCTGATTGCTTTTTCTCCTTCAAGAGCCATGTAGAGGACAAGTAGTTCCAAATAGGCCACACACATAGACCTTGAAATTCAGCTAAAAATGTATCGTCAGAATTTCCTTCAAGCCCTGGCGCGTGACACGAGAGGTTGGAATTGTTCCGGTAAAAGGTGGTGTGCTCATGCGTGCAGTACTGCACTGTCAGATTGTAGTGGGCTTTTAGCGTAGTTTTGCATTGAGGCTGGCGTGGTCAGCTTTGTCAATAAGTCACTAGAGATATTTTGAACTGAACTTGGGCACTTAGAAATAGGGTGGTCACTGTTCATGGCAGAAGAATGATAGAGATGAGGTCATTATTCGGATTTTTGTGACTATTTTAAGGTTTGGCTAAGATACCATGTATAATTATTAGCCTACTTATTTACAACTTCATTATTTCTGAAGAACACTACAATGCTTATAAGGAGAAATAATGGGGCCTAAACCCAACAGGAATAAAGAAAAAACATCAACCTTAAACCATATGAGAATGGAAAGCCATAATGTGCATATATGCCACAAGTGATACGTTTACAAATTAAGTGTAATAAATTCTTGGTAGGTATTTCTTTGCGCATATGGGATCGTTTTTCTTGGTAGGTTTCGAATGGAGCCAAAGGTTCATTATTTTTTGGTTTATAAATATGATGGAATAAAGAAAAATGGCTCACTAAACTGTTTGTGCTTCTTTTTTATGAAGCAACAATCAGTCCATGCAATTTTTGACATCTGGAAACCGTCTCTCTGTGCCTTAGTACATGGTAGGGCACTAAGCGGTAGGGGTAAGGCACTAAACAGTCTCTTTGTGCTTTAGTGAATAGTGAGAAAAATGGCTCATTAAACTGTCTATGTTTCTTCGTTATGAAGCGGCAGTTAATCCACACAATTTTTGCTGACTAGGCGTTTTGGCGCTAGGGAGTGCTACTGGGTACCCTCGCCTCGCCAGAAAAAGACTAGTTGAGCTTAGCATCGTCCAAGTGTCGTCTAGGCGTGAACTTGGCGACAAGTATCCACCTAGTTTTGCCCAGTCGAACAACCGTCTGCAGGCGCAGGCCAAAAAAAGAATAGATTAAGGTTTAGCAGAGTCGTAGAGTTGAAGCAGAGTAGCAGACGAACCGTAGAACTCTAGGAAGCATAAGAAGTCGCCGGACTCGCCCTCCCTTAGTCCGTCGTTGAAGCAGACGACCACAGATCAATACATTTCCAAGTCCACCGATCTCTATTTTTTTATGGAGGTCCACCGATCTCTTATTCTCTTTGAATTTAGTTTTTTATATTATAATTAATTAACTATTTAAGTTGTGTGTGTGTGTATATATATGTATATCAGTATTTGCGTATATAATATATATACTTTTATATTATATGAACAGTTAAACATGCTGAACAACTTTCATTATCTATACGCTGAACAGTGAACACGCTGAACTGCTGATATGATCTATACATTATTAGTTTATTATACTACCTCCGTCCCGGAAACAAGTTCCCGGGTTGACTTTCACACATTTTAAGGAAATAAAGTTACCGAGGGGTAAATTTTACTGTTTTGACACTGTTGTGCACTGTTTGACACTGTTTAACACTGTTTTGATGTGGATTAATTTGCCAAATAAGGAATTGGGAAGTTTATTTTGGGACATCCAAATAAGGAAAGTGAGAACTTGTTTCCGGGACGGAGGGAGTGTTATAAATAATAAACTATTAAACTATTAGTAAAAGTTATTATATACTACCTCCATCCCGAAAGAAGTTCTCACTTTCCTTTTATGGATGTCCCAAAAAGAAGTTTGTTGAGAACAGAAAAATAAAAATCAACGGGGTAAACCGTTGCCCAGATAATCAACGATAAAAAATGTTGCCCAGAGCCAAAAGGCTAAACTCCAATTTTATTCATAAATGAGAAAGAATGAATCCTAACAAGGGGTTTAAATACAAAATAGGAATCCTAATCAACTCCATCTACTAATTCCCAAACTAGGAAACAAAAACATAGAAATCCTAATCAACTCTAACTAGGAAACAAAATAATAGAGATCCTAATTAACTCCAAATAGGAAACAAATAATAGAAATTCTAATTAACTCCTAATAGGAAAAAAATAATAGAAATCATAATCAACTCCAAATAGGAAATAAATCGGGAAAATAAAAAAGAATAAAAATCAAGTAAACAGCCCGCAACCAGCCCGTCCCCGCCTTCAGTAAACCCACGGGGGCTTCTACCCCTCTTCTTCCAAGCCCAGATTCTGCTTCATATCAATTCCACCCCATTCGAAAAAACCTTGTCCTCAAGTTCTTCATTTTCTTCAGCTAGCATCACCTTTAATTGTTTGAAAGGACAATCGTGCCCCATCGTGAAAGGTTTCTGGCACTTGGAGCATAATCCCTTGGCCCGCAGCTCTTCTAACACCTTTGGGGGAAGCCTGGTGAACCTCGAGCGTGCAGTAGACTGCCCGGACAGCCCTGAATATGTCCTCGGGGGCTGCCCACTATCTTTCGGGAGGCTGCCATTCGATCCCTGTATGTTGCCACCACTGGCAGTCAACGGAGGACCCGTGTTTGACAGTGAAAAGTTGCTGGAACGTGTCCCTGTAGGATTATAATTTGGATTGCCTCTTCCCCACTCTGAACAGACAGATTGTACTCCACATCACGAGCTGATTCCATAGCCTCTTCCAAGTTATTCGATCGAAGTAAGCGCGGCGAGCTTCGGATTGATTCTTTCTGTCCATTCATGTAGTATCCCAAATAATGTTCATTAGACAATTTTGGAACTTGGCTGGCCAACTGAACAAACAGGGTATTGTAGTCCTCCACTGATACGATCTGTTTGATGCCGGACAGCCATTCAAACTGTTACGAGTGTGGTTGGGATTTCGTTTTAGATCTAGGAAATAGAGATTATGAGAGGAGGATAAGTGTAGTGGAGAGTTGTAGATCTTTTCTGGTGGAGTTACCAGAAACTTTTGGGCTACCAGATTTGGCAAAGGATTTAGTATCAGCTTATCTGGTAGATGTGGAGGCAATGAGGGCTGTTGAGATATAGTTTTAGGTGTGGGTGCTACTGGTTCAAGCCTCAACTTTTTCAGTGGAAACAATTCGGTTAGTGAGAACGATTGAGATGGTAGAGATGTGGGCTGCAAAATCTTATTCGATGGCGGAGGCATCTGAGTTATTGGCTGCAGTAAAGGAGATGGTGTATAGTGTGGATCTTCGGAATCTAAAATTTCTATGTAAAACAGACGTTTGCAGCGATGTTTGCCTCGGATCCATTGTTCGTCACAATTATAACATAAACCATTAACGTGTCTTGCAGCCACGTCAGCACGGGACAATTGTTTCCATACGGGGCTAAACGTACGGCGCAGAGGAGATGTTTGGACTGTAGCAAGTCTCTTTGTAACAAAATCAAGATCTTCCATAACGGTTTCAAAGGTCTGTGTAGAAGGAGGAATAATGATAGAAGCAAGTTTCCTTGTAGCAGCAGTCAGACCCTCCATAGCAGTTGTGAGAGCCTTGGTTGTTTCAGAGATCGAGACATTCAATTCACGAAGATTTTTACTCAAACGTTCTTGGCCATGCATATACTGATTTGCACCATGTTGGAGTATTGTCACTAGTGAGGCGTCGTTGACCTGCATTTTTTTTTGGCTTCTTCCTTTAAGAACTGGATGTGCTGGTCCAGCAATTTTTTTTGGAGGATTCTGAACAGGAGAAAAACAGAAAGGGCAGGGGAAAATTTGAACCGAGCAGGAATGTGATAAAACTGAAAAGGTGCGGAATAAGATGAATCGGGCAGGAACGTGATGACTCTGGTACCAAATTGTTATGAGCGTGGTTGGGTTCTCGTTTTAGATCTAGGAAATAGAGAATATGAGAGGAGGATAATAAAATAAGCCTAAGCTAGAATTAATCTGTGCCCGACCTTTTCAAGACACAAAAGAATTAATTCTTCCCAAGCTGTTTATTGAATAATATTGATGTCCCTTATATAGCTATTACAAGAATCCTAAGAGGAAATAAATGCTAACTAAGAAGTTGCCTAAAGCAAAATAAGAATAATTATAAAAGGAGATAAATGCTAATTAAGAAACTGCCTAAAGCAGAATATGAATAATTATAGAAGGAGATAAATGCTAATTAAGAAGCTGCCTAAAGCTGACATAGAAATAATAATAGTAATAACAATAATGTAATGTTTCTTGACTTCTTCTCCCATATCATCTGATAAGAGATCAAATACAAATCATGCTTAAAATACTAACCTACAAACTCAATAATATGCAACACTTTGAACTTCAATATGCAATACAAATAATGTAAAGATGCACACTGTGAACTTCAATATGCAATACAAATAATATTCAACACTTTGAACTTCAATATGCAATACAAATAATATGCAACGTTTTGAACTTCAATATGCAATACAAATAATGTAAAGATGGACAATTTGTGACAGTTTGTAGGTTAGCATGGGAGGACTAGTTTGTATGTGATCCCACCCCTATTGTTACGGATCTAGCCCATACCATTGTCATAAGCTCATGTGTAGAACTCACCCCCAAAAGACCAGCCGATTAGGAGGGGGGTACACATTGCTTATAAGCCACCGATCAAGCCCATACTTGACCGGTGTGGGATCGTTACAATACCTCATGCTTCGAAGAGCCAACGTCCTCGTTGATCACGACTATGTTGGTCATGGTTGGCACCCCCCAGGGTCCAAGCCACCTCTCCATAGGCCACCACTCCGAGTGTCGGAACCAGAAAGATGGGGATGTCTCTTATACCAATTGTTACGGATCTAGCCCATACTAGGCCCATACCATTGTCATAAGCCCATGTGTAGAACTCACTCCCAAAAGATTAGTCTATTAGGAGGAGGGAGAACACATTGCTTATAAGCCACCGGTCAAGCCCATACTTGACTGGTGTGGGATCATTACACAAACATGTTCCCTTTAAATCGGGAGTCAAATCAGGCCACCAAAGCTTGTTTGAATTCTCCCCACGTCATGCCGGGTTTGCGCGTTCTCAGTCAGGTTACCCAATAGAGGGACCCCCCTTCCATGGCAACCACAACGGCTGCCACTTTTTTCTCTAGTAGGGTTCCATTTAATTCAAACTGTTGTTCAGCCCGAGCTATCCAGCCGATAGGGTCTTCACTATCGAAGGTGGGCAGCGAGGTTGGAAGGGTGTTGCGTGCTGTGCGAGGATGTCTCTGTCGTGACTGGCAGCATAAGGACCTTGGATATCTTGACAGCGATTTCAGCCAGCCGCATGCCCTGCTCTTCCAGGGTGTGATTCATCTGGTTTTGCTCAATCCCATTCGGGCTTTCTCAACCTCCATCTCTATCGTTCTGAGATCTCGTCATCCTGGCGGGACGGGATCCGGCAGGTCGGACCAATTATTGAGAACAGAAAAATAATCAACGATAAAAATCGTTGCCCAGACGGCCAGACCCAATAGGCTAAACTCCAATTTCATACATAGATGAGCAAGAATGAATCCTAACAAGGGGTTTAAATACCCATCTACTAATTCCCAAACTAGGAATCAAAAACATATAAATCCTAATCAACTCCAACTAGGAAACAGAATAATAGAGATCCTAATTAACTCCAAATAGGAAACAAATAATAGAAATCCTAATTAACTCCAAATAGGAAACAAATCAGGAAAATAAGAAAGAATAAAAAATCAAGTAAACAACCCGCAACCAGCCCATGAAGGTGGGCTCAAGCCCGTTCCTGCCTTCAGTAAACCCACGGGGGCTTCCGCCCCTCTTCTTCCAAGCCCAGATTTTGCTTGAGATCAAAGTTCTCATTTATATAAAAAGAAACCACTTTTAAGCAAAAAGTTGCAATCATCCTTACTTTTTGCCTACTTGTTATTTAATTTAACATAAAGTAAGGATATACTTGGAAAGTCAAAACAAAACTTTACCTCACATAAATATGTGTGTAGGTCAAACCGGGAACTTCATTTTGGGACGGAGGGAGTATATAATTACGTATACAAGTATGTGATATATGTACTAGTTTAACTTTTTTTAAAGTGTGGTCATAGTTATTATACAACTGTTATTTACTATAGAATGAATAAAGATTTATTATTGGTGGGTTTCAATTATTAACTGTGGGTTTCAATTCTAAGTTATATACACTTTAATTAGTAATATGTTATATATAATATACGTAGTATTATATAATGTGCAACTAGTCGCTTAATTGTCGCCTAGACGGGCGCCTTTTCGCCAAGGCGATATGGCGGTCAGCTGGCTCCTCGGGACCTCGACTTACCGCCGTGGTGTCGTGACAAGTATGGTAAGGCTGCATACATCTGACCACCCCCTTACCCCACCGCAGATGGGAGCCTCTGTGGCACTGGGGTAATGTTGTTAGATATGGGATCACTATCTAGGTGTATTTTCATATGTGTATTGTGACTCGTAATAATTTAAATATCCCCCTCCCTGTTCAGTGTTCTAACTCCATATTATAAAGAGGAAGTTAAGTATTCTATGGATGAACTTAACAAGGAAAATGAAGATGGCATATCAACTCTCTTTTACCTTCAGAAGATCTATCCAGGTGAGTTCTGAACCATTATAGGTTTTTTTTGTATTATCAGGCCCCCTTGCTAGTTGATATACAGTTTCGCTGCATTGAAGTTGCCCTGACTCTTCTAATGTTATTCTACCAAACTAGATGAATGGAAGAACTTTCAGGATCGCATTGACAAACTCCACCTTAAACCCGGTGATGAGAAGGAGATTGAAGTCATTGAACTCACTCGGCAATGGGTTTCCTACAGAGGCCAGACACTTTCCAGAACTGGTTTGACTTGCACTGCTCTTTTAAATGAGGCCACGTACATGTCTGTGTAGTTGTTGATTCCTTACAATCTTCCTTTTTCTTTATGTTTTTGTGTGATTTTCAGTAAGAGGAATGATGTACTATAGGAAAGCTATTGGGCTTCAGTACTTCCTTGAGAATGTGGATGATAAAGGTGACTTCCGTTGAGATCTAGTGCTGTGACTTATTAATCAATTTTATTTACCAGTTAGTTCTACTTTCAGCACATGATGTGTCCTAGTTGAGAATGGTGGTCTATATCAATAACCTTTCAACATCTCCTTGGCAGATATATTTGGCGGCTATCGTCGTACAATGGATATAAATAATCCTGAGTCTGGACTGAATGAAGTAGAAAAGGCATGGGCAGATTTGAAGTTCACCTATATTGTCTCTTGTCAGTTGTATGGTAGTCAGAAGAAATCCAAGGACGCAAAAGAGCATAATCTTTACGCAAATATTCTTAATCTCATGTTGGAGTGAGTTTCATTTCTCAAAGTTCTCACTGTCCACTTAGATATAACGATAAAAATTTTGGAAGGGCTGATAGAATTTGTAATCTTGGAATACCAGGCATCCATCATTGCGTGTTGCTTATATAGATGAAAAGGGAGAGACAGTTGACGATAAAGAAGAAAAGTTTTACTACTCCGTTCTTGTCAAGGGAGGAGATAAGTTGGATGAGGTATGAGTTAACTTTATAGTCATGAAAAAAGTACTACCTCCGTCCCATAATGTAAGATGCATGTGGGTTTAGTGCGGGTTTTAAGAAAATAAAGGATAAAGCGGTTGCTTTCAATTCTAACCTCCAAAAAGTAACAAAGAGAAAAATGATTTCACAAAAAGTAAAGAGGGAAATCATAGATAAAGGGATAAAGTGGGAAAGTAAAAAGTTAATGGAGTCCAATTTAAGAAAGTGTTCCTATTTTTTCGACAACCGAAAAAGGAAAGTGTATCTTACAAAATGAGATGGAGGGAGTATTAAGTATCATGTTTAGAAAGACCAGTGACGTAAATCTGGCATGATGTCCTCTACAACTGCTGGTTAAGTAGATCCCTTACTTTTAAATAATATACTATTTCCATTGCTTTTAGCAATCCTGACATAGTGCTGAAAAATAGGAAATATATCGAATCAAGCTTCCTGGTCCTCCAGTAGTAATTGGTGAAGGAAAGCCTGAAAATCAAAATCATGCCATTATTTTCACTCGTGGAGAAGCCCTTCAGACCATAGACATGAATCAGGTATGAGTACCTTTATCATTCTGTTAAGTGTGTGAGTTAGCGACCGCGTCCAAGGACGTGAACGAGAATGGCTGCAGGTAACGATGAAATTAGCTATTTTAAGTGACTGGGAATAGATGAACAAAAACTAGAGGCTTAGTCGTATAATTACTGGTCTCCGACCTAGTCAAGAGATCTCATAATTAATAAACCAAAAGCTGTTTATTTAAATTACTGGGTTCCCCTTAAATAGATATTAAGGGTATCCTAAAAACAATTAGGAAACTAAGTTGCTTATTCTAACAGAACTCTAATAAAGGAATACTATTTAAGACAGGACCAATTAGATAATACTAATACTAATATGACTCTCACGGCTTGCTTGATCTTCCCCTTAGCCACTTTGATTGTTAATCGTCTCCGCTCCCCTTTGTCCTCTACGTTTATATGTGTGACCAAAGAATTGATTGATAACATTACTCCCCTTCTTCAGAAAGAGCTTGTCCTCAAGCTTGAAAGTAGGATACTGTGCTTGGAATGAAGTGAGTGGTTCCCATGTTGCCTCGTTCAATTGTTGTCCCTGCCAGTGAACAAAAAGTTCCCAGCTGCCAGTTGAAAGCGGCTGCGAAGAACTGCCTCAGGAATAGTGGTGCCCAGAGTGCAAGGTGCTGGCGGCAGACTGCCCATTGACTCTGGAGGAGGTCCTTGGTGTGGCTTGAGAAGGGATACATGAAAAACATTATGTATACGAGCTGCGGCTGGCAATTGGAGCTTGTAAGCAGTCTTTCCAATTCACTCCAAGACTTGAAATGGACCAAAATATTTTTGTAACAGTTTGGAATTCCCCCGTCCTATTGTAAGTTGGTGATATGGTTGTAAACGGAGCCAGACCCAAGCACCGGTTTCAAAAGAAAGCTCGCGGTGACCTTTATCAAACTGATTTTTCATTCTCTGTTGTGCTTGAGACAATCTGTCATTTGCGTTTGAGAAGATCATCACGATCAAGTAGCTCCCGATCAGCGCCGTCCACTTTAGCTGTCCCAGGGGTGGGTCCCTGCCATAAACCATACGAAATGGTGCGTCCCCCAGAGATGAATGGTAGGACGTATTGTAACAATACTCCACCCAAGGCAGCCAACGAACCCATTCTTTGGGATAATCGCTCGTGATACAATGCAAAAATAACCCGACCGCACCCGACCGTGCGGTTAACAACCTCCGTTTGACCATGTGTCTGCAGGTGGTATGCGGAGGAGTAAACAAGTTTAGTGCCAGATAGGAAAAATAACTCTCGCCAGAAAGTGCTCATAAAGACTTTGTCACGATCAGAAACAATGGATTTTGGTAGTCCACAAAGACGGAATATTTCAGAAAAAAATATGTTGGCCACAGAAACTGCCATATATGGGTGAGCTAAAGGGATAAAATGAGCGGCTTTAGAGAGTCTGTCAACAACGACCAGAATTACCGATTTATTTCGAACCTTGGGTAAGCCTTCAATGAAGTCCATAGAAATATCTGCCCAAATGTGGTGCGGAATGGGCAGAGGTTGTAATAAGTCAGCCGGTTGTAACGTTAACCATTTTTGCTTTTGACATGTCTGGCAATCCCGGACAAAGTTGGCCACCGTAGTCTTCATTCCAGTCCAATAAAACTCCCGTCGTAGTCGTTAAAGAGTTTTTTCAACACCCTCATGAGCCATGTTATGACATACCGAGAGCACAGTCTGAACCACTTCAAATGTTTCTAACAGATAGAGTTTGAAGCGATAATAGAATAAGCCATCTCGGAGTTCCCAATCAGAGTCGTGCTTTCCCTCTTGGATTTCCTGACGGATATTGTTCATAATGGGGGGAAACAGCTTGTTCAGACCGTATTTCGCTGAGGAGAGTATTGAAGGGAATGGTGAGGGCGGGCAGATTCATAACATCTTCATGTTGGCGAGGCAAGGCATCTGCAACAGTATTGAAGCGTCCCGGTTTGTATTCCACCCGGAAATTAAAGCCCATTAATTTACTCAGCCAATGTTGTTGCGGAGACGTAGTGAGCCGTTGATCCAGTAAATGTTTCAAGATGGAATGATCTATCCAGATAAGATATTCAGATCCGTTCGCCAATGGGTGACTGACTGCCTTGGCTAACCCTATCAATTCCCGTTCATAAGCTGCGAGCTTAACATGGCGGGCAACAATCTTGCGACTAAAATATGCGATGGGATGGCCTTGTTGCACCACTGCCCCAAAACCAGATCTTGAGGCATCACATTCGACGACAAATTCTTTCTCGAAATTAGGTAATTGGAGAACTGGGGCCAAGGAAAGGCACCGATTGAGATCGTGGAATGTTTGTTCTGCCGCGTCGTTCCAGGAAAAGGCACCCTTCTTTAGCGATTGTGTGAGTGGTCCAGCAATCTCCCCGTAATGATGAATAAACTTGCAGTAATAACCAGTTAGGCCCATGATGTGAGTTTTCTCGCACTTAAAATAGATCGTAATATGGTTGTGTAAGTACGAGTATCTTCTCCACAGGGACGGACAAAAGGGAATCAAGAATTAATTAAATTACGCAATTAAAAAGAAATAAAATAAATGCGTCATGCGAGATATGATTGGAATGAAAACTAACTAATGCGAATGAACGAATAAAAATAAGGTTTGGTTTCTTTCTAATTAATGACGAAGGGAACAGGGATTGATTTCAAGGTAATCAGATTTCTGGCAGATCAGGTCTAATTACATGAATTTAATTCAATTGAGCCTAGCTAATCATTACTAAGTTCTTACCGCTCTCACGGCGTAGAGTACAATAATTTAGGGGACCAGGCTGATCTCTCATGCGACAGGATCCTAAATTATTGCCAAGACGAGCGAGCTTACGGCCCTTTAATCGTTACTAATCTCTTAGCGAGCGATTAAGTGTGTGTAAATGTATCCTAGAACAAATTAGATCTCTCTTAATTTATTCTACATGCAATTGTAATTCTAGCTGCAGTCTAGGTTACAATAGATATTAGTTAAATTATTCAAACACAAATTAAATGGCATTCATGCAATTAAACCATCAAGAATCTAGCCATACATCATGATTAACTCCTTCACCAACCCCAAATCCCTAATTAAACTACTCACAATTCATAATTGAAGAATCAATAGAATTGAGAAGAATAGAATTAATTGTCATTAACTAAAAAGATGAACTTACAAATAATCCCAAGGTCTTGGAGTAAAATAGCGGAAAACAATGAATAAATTCGTCCCTCGGCCTCTCCGTAATGTTCGTAACCCTTAAACAGGAGAAGGGAGGCCTTATTTATAGAAAATAGGATTTTCCGGAGGCAAGCATGGTGTCAGGCACGACCGTGCCTTCGACCGTGCCTCCGGAGCAAAATCGTGCGTTTTGGGTAGGCACGGTCGTGCCTCCTTCCAGGCACGATCGTGCCTGACTGGCAGTTGCTCCACGGTGCTTTCTCTTCACGCACGATCGTGCCTAACTTTGAGCGCACGATCGTGCCTACTTAACTTCCGAATTTGACGATGCTTTCTTCACGAAAGTTGTAGATAATGAAGTCCTCTATCCACCACAATTTGCCGAATTGGATTTGAATCATCCAATCAAGAGATATGAATAAAATGGTGGAAGGTCGCATTCTAAAATCGCAACAGGGATCATCTGACTTCATTGTCTGTTTTCACCTTCTTCCTTTCAGATTCTCGCAAATGTGTCTTCATATGATTTGTAGCCCTTGAAGTTAGCTTTCATGTGGAACTTGAATCGTGTGCTTTGGATGTTTCTACAAAGAGAGATGCTTGAACGATTGACAGAAGGTCATCTTGATCGCCGTTTTCAAGCTCTTTTCGTCTTCATTTTATCCCGTAGCCAATCCTAGAGCTCTTTTGCCATCAAATCTTTATCGTGAACCTCCCGGTGACCTCCAATGCTCTCAATTCACTCTCGAATGCTTCTCAACTCATTCCGATTGCTTCTCAAGCGCCGGTGTCGGGCTCAAATTCCCAGATTTTGACTCCAAATGACACAAAATTCGAACCAACGCCCGGTAAACAAAACTTGAGCTAAAATTGAGACTTGCAACACCTTAAAGCTAGGAAAACCATCAAAAGCCGATCCCAACACGCATCAAATGTGTCTAAATATGGACTTATCAGCCCAAAAAACCGCGTAAGGCTGTGACTGATCGGGGTGTTGGCCATTCCGTGATGGTTTGGTGTTTGGCCGGATCCGCCTCAATGCCTTTGTTATGGATAATATGACCGAGATATTGGACTTGCGGTGTGCCAAAACTGCATTTGGACTTCTTTAACGAAAGGCCATGAGTGCGCAATGTTTCCAATACACGGTGGACATGATAAACGTGTTCGACCCAAGACTTGCTATAAATGAGTATGTCATCGAAGAAGACGAGGACAAATTTGTGAAGGTATGGTGCAAAGATGTCGTTCATTAAGCTCTGAAATGTGGGTAGTGTGTTGGTGAGTCCAAACGGCATGACTAAGAATTCAAAGTGGCCGATGCGTCTGAAAAGCTGTCTTTTTTATATCCTCTTCTGCCATGCGGATCTGATGGTAGCCTGAGCGCAAGTAAAGTTTTGTAAAGAATTTGGATCCATGAAGTTCGTCCAGCAACTCGTCAATGGCAGGAATCGGAAACTTGTCCTTAACGGTTCTGGAATTGAGTTCTCTGTGGTCAACGCAAAACCTCTGTGTGCCCTCAGTTTTTTTAACAAGAAGGACGGGTGATGAAAAGGGAGTCGGCTTGGCCGGATGATACCTTGTTGGAGCATCACAGAACATTGCTGCTCAATCTCATCTTTTTGGAAGTAGGGGTAACGGTAAGGACGAACAACCAACGGGCTAGTTCCGGGAAACAACGTGATCTTATGATCACACGCACGTGTAGGTGGCAGCCCGGATGGCAAACAGAAAATGTCTTCAAATTGGTCAAGGACTAGGAAGCACGGAAACTCTCCATGGCTCACATTTCCACGTTTCGGAAACTCGGAAGTGTTTTGGAAACTCGGAAACTTCAAATTCCCGTTTCGGGACCGTTTCCGTAATTAAGAAAAATTTGGAAACCCGTTTCACTACGTTTCGGAAACCTTGGATTCCAATTTTTTTCTTTTTCAAAAGATTCTGTGGTGGAAAATATTTTTTTATAGTGAATTTTTGTGGTATTTCTCAGCGGCAACACTTGTTACATTTCGTAACGCAATGTATTGCTAGAAATGTATTACTCCGTACATTTTAGGTTTAATTATGTACTAATATGAAATAATATCTAAATTCGAACATGTAGAGTGATTTTGTTATTTGGTTACTAAACAAATTATATTAAAAAAACATGTGCATATGGAAAAACTTGTGTACATATATTAGAAAATATTTATAAATATATCCTTATATTTTATGATATTTACGCGTTTCCCCCACGTTTCGTGTCCTATATTTTTTAGAAATTACGTTTCTCGCGTTTCCCGTTTCCCGTTTCTGTGCTACTTAGGTCAAGGAGGCTTTCCAATTTGGGAGATGACGTGGTAATCATGTGGGCCTGAAGTGTAGGTGTGCTAGCATGGCCATGCCATTCCACAGGCGTGTTCTGCCATCTGAAGCGCATGAAAAGGCGTGAAAACCCCATTCAATTGCGCCAAGATTGCAAAGCCACTGAACGCTCAATATCATGTCAAATCCGGCCAACGGAAGCACATAAAAGTCAGTTGTAAATGTTCTTTCGTCCACTACAAAGTCAAGTCGAGGACATGTGCCCAAAATAGGTACCCGATCTCCATTGGCTACTAGAACATGAAGACATGATTTCTGGTGCATTGAAGGTTTACTGTCCGGAACTAGGCTTTGATGGATAAAATTATGGGTACTGCCGGAGTCCACCAGAATTGTGATGGGTGTGTTATTAAGGGTGGCGTCTAACTGCATGCTAGAAATGGACCCGATTCCAGTCATAGCATGAAGAGATAGGGCTGGCTCAAACTGCTCTTCGGACTGGTCATCCTCTATAATGTCGATAAAGAATAATTTCTTGCATAGATGGCCGTGAACCCATGGATCGTCACAGTTATAACAAAGGCTCTTTTCTCTGCGAATCGCAGCTTCTGCCCGAGAAATCTTTTTGAAGTGTGGATTGGAGGTGCGTCGAGGTAAATTTGATTCTGAACGGGCAATTGATTGTGGCCGTATCGGTAGGGCAGGCGAAGAATAGCCTACACTGTATTTGCGCTCCACGGTCCTGGCCAGCATCATTGCAGAATCTAGGTCAAGAGGATCCTGGTATTCAACCTCCAAGCGTACAACCTCACGCAGGCCAGCAGTGAACATTTTTACTTGCATCCGGATAGAAATTCCCACAGTTCGAGCCAACATTTGATGGAATGTTTCGATATAATTCTCCAATTCGCCAGTCTGTTGTAGTTTTGCCAGATCGCCTTCTGGGTTCGAGCTACTTGGTGGGCCAAAGTGTTTTGTGCAGGGACTGTAGAAGTCGGTCCAAGAAATTGGTGAAGTGCCCGTATCCAATTGATTAGCCCACAACTGGGCGGTACCGGTCATATGGAAGGTCGCCAGACTTACGCGAGCTTGTGCGGGCATTCGTTTCTGAATAAAGAAGCTCTCGCACCTTTTGAGCCATGACAGGGGATCGCCTTTCCCATCATCCTGTGGAAACTCAAGCTTCAAAAATCTGGGAATTAAGGATTCTTCGTTGTCACGGCATGAATAGTCGACGTCCCTTCTGCGTTCGAACTGGGGTGAACTGGAAAAAGTTTCCCCGTTTGCTTTGTGCACCGCTGCGGATAGAGCATCCATCGCCGCTGGAAGGGTGGCCAGTTGCACCATAGCTGTCTGTAAATACGCTAATTGTTGTTCTAGAGCCAGTTGTCGTTGGTCCACACTCTCAATCATGGTTTTCAAGGATTCCGCAGAAGTAGACTCGGTCCCCATCGTCCCAGAAGCTGATACCAAGTTGTTAAGTGCGTGAGCTAGCGACCTTGTCCAAGGTCGTGAACGAGAATGGCCGCAGGTAAACGATGAAATACTTGAAGCTATTTTAATTGACTGGAGATGAACGAAAACTAGAGGCTTAGTCATATAATTACTGGTCTCCGATCTTGTCAAGAGATCTCATAATTAATTAACCAAAAGCTGTTTATTAAAATTACTGGGATCTCCTTAAATAGATATTAAGGGTTTCCTAAAAACAAATAGGAAACTAAGTTGCTTATTCTAACAGAACTCTAATAAAGGAATACTGATCAAGGCATACTAATTAAGGCAGGACTAATTAAATAATACTAATACTAATATGACTCTCACGGCTTGCTTAATCTTTCCCTTAGCCACTTTGATTGTTAACTGTCTCCGCTCCCCTTTGTCCTCTGCGTTTATATGCACTACCAAAGAATTGATCGGTTACATTCTCCAAAGATTTTTCAGAAATCTTATCCTTTTCTTTCTGCAGGATAACTATTATGAAGAAGCATTCAAAATGAGAAATGTATTGGAGGAGTTCACGAAAACTCATCACGGGCAACGTAGGCCAACAATATTAGGATTGAGGGAGCACATTTTTACTGGAAGGTTTGCATTGAAGTTGATACTAATCAGTATGAGATTCTCACACCTATTTTGGAGTTCTTACTTGCCCTTTTTATGATTTCTAGTGTCTCTTCACTCGCATGGTTCATGTCCAATCAGGAGACTAGTTTTGTAACTATTGGACAGAGAGTTATGGCAAGCCCTTTAAGGTTAGGATTTGTTTCCTATCCGGACTTCTATACTGATTTTATATGGTACATATAACAGATGTGATAGGAACCTGCCTATTAGAGTATTAGACTATTATTAGAAATAATAATAATAATAATAATAATAATAATAATAATAATAATAATAATAGTAATAGTAATAAGGATACTTGAGTATTGTAGTATAAATAGATGGGAAGGGGGAGTTAGTAGGAAGGCTGTTTAGACATTTGTCAATTCGGATTTGGGAGATCGAGAGCTACTCTCTTTCTTGGGGGCTTTGGCTCATTGGGAGGCTACGGCCTTGGTTACCGATACTGTTCACCTTCTTCATCAATAAAGCTTTTCTGTTTGTTCTTGATATCTTCTTCTTAAACTGTTCTGGATTTCTGAAGATCCCTAACATTGGTATCAGAGCGAGACGATCGCTGGACGAGAGAGACTCGAATGAAGATGGACGGTCGTATAACGCAGATAGAAAGAAAACTGGAGGAGCGAATGACTGAAATCGAGCAGAAATTTGACAGATATCAGAAGGAATCAAATGCGAAGTTTGAGGAATTAAGAGCGAAGATGAAGGCTGGCTTCGCGGAGATTAAGAACCAGAAGAAAGATCGATCCAGAAGTAGGCCGCACACCTCAGAATCATCGTATCGCTCATCTGCATCACATCGCAAATCGCGAACTTCTTCTCATCATTCGAATTCGCTAACAGAATCTCGCCATTCGCAAACTTACTCAGCCGCGAGAAATTCGAGCCCAAGAAAGACTCGATTGAGAGGAGAATATTCATCTTCATCTCCCATCGATTCTCAGGGTTCGTGATAGAAGCAGAAAAAGAAACCCTAGCAGACGGTGTTAACGACTGCCCAGCCTTAGGCTCAAACCAAATCTTTATTCTCGATAATGAATAATAGTTCACAAGACCTCCTTAAATACTCCTTAACCTAATAATAAAATATGGCCATCTAGGCCCATTAACCTAATAATAAAATATGACCATATAGGCCCAACAGTTTATTAGACATAACAATAGACTGAAATAAAGTAATGAAACCCAGCAGTCAACCCAGCCCAATTAGGTCCACTGACAGCAACCCATAAACTAATAATGGGCGAGGCCCGTCCTCCTGAAGCATTGGCCCGTTTGCCTCCTAGAACCTCGGCCCATCTGCCTCCCACTCCCTAACAATTTCCTCCCCCTCCAAAACAACCTTGTCCCCAAGGTTGGAGTGAAGAAGCAGCTGCTTGTTTCTCCTTCTGTTCCCCTAGCTGCTCAACCTCTTCGGGCGGGATAAAAGATTCAGTTTGATTGAGGTCGAGTTCCTCATCTTCCTCGACAACCATTACTCTTAACTGTTTTAGGGGACATTCATGCCTGGGGGTATAGGGCTTCTTGCAACGGAAACAAAGCCCTTTTGCACGTAGGTCTGCAAATTCCTGCGGTGAGAGGCGTGTGAACCGAGAGCGATTCTCCGACTGGCCAGTCATGGCTGACCCGGACCCCGAGGTACTACCTGGAGATCGCGAGGAAGTTGTGCTTCCTGCTGCCCCTTGGTTTCCAGTAACTGGCGTGGAAGAGAGCCCCGAAAACCCGCCAACTTTGGTGTAATTACTGGAACGGCACTGCTGATTGTCGTATCCCCATTCTGATCTCCCTCCGGACTGTACGGCCAAGTCTTCTTCGATATCTCTTGCTAACTTCATAGCAGCTTCCAAATCAGTTGGGCGTAGGGTCCGTAAGGAACTGCGAATGGTGTCCCGTAGCCCTTTCATAAAGTACCCCAAGTAGTGGGCATCACTCAAACCTGGGACCTGACTGGCTAATTGCACGAACAAATTTACATAGTCATCCATGGATCATGTCTGCTTAACGTCAGCCAACCGTTCGAACGTGCTCCCTTTGAACCGAGTATCAAAACGGGCTACAAGGGCTTGTGAAAACTCCTCCCAAGCTATGCCTGGTTTCCGCGACCGTGTCCAAGAAAACCAGTACAGAGCAGGACCCTCCATTGCTACCATGGCTGACGCCACCTTCAACTCAGGTCGGGTCTGATGTATTTCAAATTGCTGATTGGCCCTAGCAAGCCATCCAATCGGATCTGCCCCCTCAAACGCCGGTAGCGTCAGAGGCGCGGTCACAGACCTAGGGTTGTGGGAGTTCTGCGAGTCAGCCGTGCCTCCTCCTCCTGACTCAGAATCAGCCAGCGTTCCCCCCGACGCCATAACCTTCTGCGCCAGTTTGTCTAGGGTTTGCGTGATAACATACAACTTGGCGTTGGTGGATTGCAATTCTGCCCTGATGTCCTTCTGGTCTGCTTCTATCGCATCTATGCGTTGATCAATGGTGGAACGAGTCATGATGAACGTAGGGCGGTGGACAGGATCCGGCAGGTCGGACCAAATTGATAGAAGCAGAAAAAGAAACCCTAGCCGACGGTGTTAACGACTGCCCAGCCTTAGGCTCAAACCAAATCTTTATTCTCGATAATGAATAATAGTTCACAAGACCTCCTTAAATACTCCTTAACCTAATAATAAAATATGGCCATCTAGGCCCATTAACCTAATAATAAAATATGACCATATAGGCCCAACAGTTTATTAGACATAACAATAGACTGAAATAAAGTAATGAAACCCAGCAGTCAACCCAGCCCAATTAGGTCCACTGACAGCAACCCATAAACTAATAATGGGCGAGGCCCGTCCTCCTGAAGCATTGGCCCGTTTGCCTCCTAGAACCTCGGCCCATCTGCCTCCCACTCCCTAACAGTTCGCCTTCTTCATGTCAAGCCATTTTTCTGAATGCGTCAACAACCCTTTCTGGTCTTCTGGCTTCGACGACAGCAGAAGTCCCCAGCTCGAAGGTTCATTCACCTGCCGGATCTCACTGTTCATCCTCGCTTATCCTCTCTCACCTGGCGCTGGAGCTAACCGCTTCCAGAACAATTGGTGTACTCACATCAGAAAAAGGACCCCAGGAGACTCCACCCACAACAATAAACACCAAATTTAAACAAGTTGTACCTTCAGTTATGGAAACAGACCCTGAAGAGGAGGTTAAGTTGAAACCCTTGATTGATATCATTCCTGAACTTAGATTGGATGTTCCTATAACAGGGCTGGACAAGATTGATGGTTTCAAAAGTGATGATGTTACTTCTATTAAGAACATTCAAGATAGATTGGGAGTAGGATTGACCAAGACTGATAAAGGAAATATTCCACATGGGGGCAAACTATTGATGCTCTTGCTAGAAGAAGTGAAGAGGATAAGACAAACAGAAAAGTTGTATGTTCAGAAACCAGTGAGGTATTGGGATGGAGAGATCAGGATTACAGATTTCTTATATGAGAAGACAGTGGGAAAGTTTGTGAAGCAAGATATTAAAACCAAAGAAAAGGTGAAATTGAAACAAGGATTGACAATGGCCATGTCTTCTCCTGGTAAGGGATCTGCTTACCTGCTAAGGGACCAACTTGGGAAGTTTTACATGAGAGATAATCCTTCTTGTTCCTTAGTTAGGAGAACTGCAGCTGGAAGAGTGTATCTGATTGCTTGCTTGCTACAACCTCTTAGATCTTACTTCTCGAATGAAGTAGTCAAAGAATTGGAAGAGGGAGAAGCTGAAAGGGACTGCTGGATAGTGACTGAGCCGAATGAAACTTCACTTCAAATCTCTTCTACTGCTGAAAGTTCTGTGATTTTAAAAGATCTCGTATTGAAGTCCCTAGTCCATCAACCAGTTAGATATTGGGAAGGAAGAGGAACACGGAAGAGGAAGAGGAAGCAGAAGATTGAGGCTGTTTCCTATCACCCACCTTGAGGGCAAGGTGGATGTTTAGGAGGGGAGTATTGATAGGAACCTGCCTATTAGAGTATTAGACTATTATTAGAAATAATAATAATAATAATAATAATAATAATAATAATAGTAATAAGGATACTTGAGTATTGTAGTATAAATAGATGGGAAGGGGGAGTTAGTAGGAAGGCTGTTTAGACATTTGTCAATTGGGATTTGGGAGATCGAGAGCTACTCTCTTTCTTGGGGGCTTTGGCTCATTGGGAGGCTACGGCCTTGGTTACCGATACTGTTCACCTTCTTCATCAATAAAGCTTTTCTGTTTGTTCTTGATATCTTCTTCTTAAACTGTTCTGGATTTCTGAAGATCCCTAACAAGATGGCATTCATATCGATGTGTTCTCATATTTTCTTGACTGACTACATTAGATGCAATTTCACATGTATTATAAATTCCTGAAGGATAAAGATTGAATATTGAAAGAGTTAACAGGCTTTACTTCACAGGGTGAGGTTCCACTATGGCCATCCTGATATATTTGACAGGATCTTTCACTTGACAAGAGGTGGCATAAGTAAAGCCTCAAAAACTATTAACTTGAGTGAAGACATATTCTCAGGTCAAATTCTTTGCACAAACTGCACTTTTACAAGTTCCGTTCAGTGTTTTATTGGGTCTACTCTTCAGGTTACAATTCAACATTACGAGGAGGGTATGTGACACATCATGAATATATTCAAGTGGGCAAGGGACGTGATGTGGGGATGAATCAAATATCTCTTTTTGAAGCAAAGGTTGCAAACGGAAATGGTGAACAAACGCTTAGCCGTGATGTATACAGGCTTGGACGCCGGTTTGACTTCTATAGGATGTTATCATTCTACTTCACCACCATTGGTTTCTACTTTAGTAGCATGGTAAGTAAAACGTTGTCCTTACTATGAATATCATTCAATCTTGCGGTTGTCACTAAAACACGAAGCCATTGAAGTTGTTATGATTGACGTCTTTTCCAGGTTACTGTGTTAACCGTTTATGTATTTCTATATGGCCGTTTGTATATGGTCTTGAGTGGGTTGGAAAAATGGATTCTGGAGGATCCTTCTGTTAGTGAGGCTAAGGCTCTCGAAGAGACTTTGGCGACCCAGTCTGTGTTTCAGCTAGGTTTATTACTAGTATTTCCTATGGTAGTGGAAATTGGATTGGAGAGAGGATTTCTCACTGCTATTGGAGATTTCATAGTAATGCAATTGCAACTTGCTTCTGTTTTCTTCACGTTCCAGCTAGGAACAAAAGCGCATTACTATGGCAGAACTCTTCTACATGGAGGTTCCAAGTACCGGGCTACTGGTCGAGGTTTTGTTGTTTTCCATGCCAAGTATGCTGATAACTACAGACTCTACTCTCGCAGTCACTTTGTGAAGGGTCTCGAGCTGTTGATGTTGTTAGTTGTTTATGAAGTTTATGGGGAATCATATCGGAGTTCCAAGCTGTACTGGTTTATAACTGTATCGATGTGGTTTTTAGTTGGGTCGTGGCTGTGTGCTCCTTTCGTGTTCAATCCATCTGGATACGACTGGCAGAAAACGGTGGATGATTGGACTGACTGGAAGAGGTGGATGGGGAACCGTGGTGGCATTGGGATTTCTGCTGATAAAAGTTGGGAATCCTGGTGGGATGAAGAACAAGAACATCTGAATCACACCAGTATAAGGGGTAGATTGCTTGAGATCATCCTTTCACTTCGGTTTTTCATTTACCAATATGGAGTTGTCTATCACCTTGATATAGCTCATGGAAGCAGGAGTGTACTGGTAATGCTGCTGTCTCCATAGCATTTTTCTCTTCACGAATGTCAATCTTGTTGTCTATCTTTAACTTTTCATCATAAATTCATTTGTGACAGGTGTATGGACTTTCTTGGTTTGTTATGGTCACTGTTCTTCTTGTCCTTAAGGTATGGTTTACACAGGGTTCCGTATGTTTCCAGCTTTACAAACTGGTTTAGTACTTCTCTCTAAACTAGGAGAGCTTAATATGAGTGCCATTATGAACAACCTCTGATAATCCATAGCTGAACGGATTTTTTTCTTTTTTCTTTAAAAAGAGAGAATAATAATTTGACCGAAGTTTCACTGTCTTTATTATTTTTTCTAAAAACAGATGGTTTCAATGGGAAGGCGGAGATTTGGCACTGACTTTCAGCTCATGTTCAGAATTTTGAAGGCACTTCTATTCCTTGGTTTTTCATCCGTCATGACTGTGCTTTTTGTGGTCTGTGGCCTCACTGTGAGCGATTTATTTGCCGCTCTTCTGGCCTTTTTGCCCACAGGCTGGGGTCTTCTACTTGTGAGTTCCATCTTTGTTTCTGTGGTTAGTTGCGTTTTTAGTCCCTAGGTTCCGAATTGAAATATCCCAAATCTTTGCCTCTATTTTTCTGAGTGCTCAATTATATTTTCCTCTTTCATAAATGAATTTTTTTCTTTTTTGGTGTTTAACATTTGAAATGCTTATTTATGAAACACAAGGCCCAAGGAGAATGCTGACTGCAAATATTCCCATAATTTATTCTCTTTGTAGTGTCTCTGTGCTTGTAAATTACTAAATTTGCAATATACTCTCCCTACTAAACACGAGACTACTTTATGGAATAGTAGTTTAACCTAATATTTCATAAAATACATTATGCATTCATATTTTATCGTACATTTTGTTGTAATTTCTGTTTAGAAATTCAAAAATGGTTTTTCATAATTTGTAATTACTCCCTCCGTCCCACTATAATTGTCCCGTTTTTTTCTTTTTCGTCCCTCCCACTAATTTTGTCTCATACCATATTTGGTAATATTTGTGTGGTTCTAATTCATTCTTACTTTATTCTCACATAACTCTACTTTTCTTAAAAAATGTATCAGTCTCCTTTGTCCCAATAATAGGGGGATGGAGGTAGTATTATATAAGAATTTGATCATCATCACCCCTACCCTAGTACCGCAAAGGCTCTCACCTATGGTGGGGTAAGGTGGGGTCAGATGTACGCAGCCTTACCCCTGTACTAAAGCACAGGGAGACTGTTTCCAGATGACCCATAGTGAATTTGATATTAGACTGTTTTATAGCAGGACTGCTTATACATTTCTCCCTTTGTCTTGAACTAAACTTCTTGTTTGGTTATGGCAAACTTATTAATAATGGTTGGAATGAAAAAGGTGCAATTGAAATTTGAGTAGAAAAGAGTGAAATGATTAATTGCAATAGAAAAAGTTGCAATTGCAATTAAAGGTGCAATTGTTTCCTTTAAAAGGGAACAAAAGATTATTTTAGGACGACCTAAAAAGAAAAGCATGAAGTTCATTTTGGTCAAGTGTGTAGAAGATTGAGTGATGGCACCTCGAATTGAGATGTGGGGAGAAGAGGCATTGAGGAGAAAGAGAGGGCAACGTATAGACAAGGGTGTATTAGAGTGGTCAAGAATGATATGGTACTTTTGGGTTAGATGAGAGTGACTTTGGAGAGAGTGAAGTGGGGGAAAAGTATGTGTGGAGGATTATCTGATTTTGATTGTCTCCCTTTTTATCTATTTATTATTTTCAATGTCATGTGTCGATTCATGTTAGCTGATCACAAACTCTTGGGATCATGACTTCGGTTATTGTTGTTGTACATAAGCTTCTCCATATTTTCAGTAAATAGATACTGACACGACAGACTGCTCTCTCTGTCTTGTCTGCAGATTGGACAAGCATGCAAGCCGTGTCTAAAATGGGTCGGAGTGTGGGACTCAGTGCGGGAGTTGGGAAGAGCATATGAGTGTATCATGGCACTTGTAATCTTCTTGCCTACAGTCATCTTTTCTTGGTTCCCATTTGTTTCAGAATTCCAGACAAGGTTGCTCTTCAATCAAGCTTTCAGCAGAGGCCTCCAGATTTCCATGATTCTTGCAGGGAGGAAAGATGATTTAGCCAGCAAATAACACCCGCCCTCAAGTGCTTTCCAGATGCAAAAATAGAAATAGCAAGTATTCTTAGGCACTGTTAGGCTAATTATTGTTTTGTTATTTACATGCTTCAGCTGGAATGCTTACAATAGTTTATATTATGCAAGTTTTTTATTTTCGTAATTGTGAAATGAATCAGTAGAAAGTTGTCAAATTATAATTGGTACATTTAGTCCTTAAACTTCATGAAGTTCACATTTAAGTAATTTTGGGAAACTAATAAAAACTACGAAAACTGCTCAAGGCATATATGAATAGGGAGAAATCTGTTTCAAGTGACATGCATATATACCTGATAGGCCGAGATTAATAAAACTCACATGGACAGTAGTACAAGTGTACTAGACAAGGCAAGCTTCCTAGCGTACACAAAAGGGATTATTCACTGAATATACTAAAACAAATAGATATATACATATATTCTATTCTCTACACCCTTCAAGGTAGAATGTGATAATTGTGTAGCTCGGATAGTAAATGTGTAAATTTGGGTGACTCAAGAATTTTGGTAAAGATGTCCATCAGTTATTTAGTATTAGAGTTGTAAAAATTAGAGTTATAAAAAGATGTTTCATGAAAATGAGGTCGGCATGAACATGATCGGAAATAAATGACAAACTTGATATGCTTTGTATTTTCATGAAATAATGTGAGGCAATGTGAAGAGCAGAACTAATGGCACAATAAAGATGGGCTGAAGATGAAGAACAACAAGAGAGGCAAGGAGAGTCAGGTAAATAAGTTCACATGTTCTAGATGTCCCTAAACCCTACACCCTACACCCTACACCCTACACCCTACACCCTACACCCTACACCCTAAACCCTAAAATGTTTAGGGTTTAGGGTTTATCTAGCCTAAGGATATTTAGCCTAAGGAGAAAAAGTGAGAAATTGTTTGTTTCTTTATTTTTCATACTCCCCAAACAAGCAAATAATCTCATCACCAATCTTCAGCTATTTGGGCATGTGACCCGGTTCAAATCATAATATCCTAAGGATATGTTTGGGAGTTGGGTTTTGGAGGGGAGATGAAGGTTGGTGAGGATTATGATCATCTTTTTCATGTTTGGGGGTTTAAAAAATTGAAAGGGTGGTTTTGGAGGGCTTTTGTTACCCTCAAAAACCCTCCAAATGGAGGGCATAAGTTCTCCCAATTTGGGAGGTTTTGAAAGATAATTAATGAAATAAAAACTGAAACTCAATTTAAAATGAATATCAGTTCAATTATTTGAATTTGTCATATCTCGAAGTGATTTTAATTATAATTCATTCAAAGACGCCTATTTCCAAATTTATTACTCCCAAAGATTCACAACATAAGCATCACCTATAAGTAGGCCTAGACTCGGGTCGGGCGGCCCGCCCCGGAACCGGCCCGAACTGGTTACTGTTTGAACCGGCCCCAACCGCCGGCCCGGCCAGGGACCGGTCCGGGTAGGTCCGACCCGCTGGGGTTCCGGTCCGGGCTCGGGCCCCTCAAAAGGTGAACCGGCCCGGCCGGTTCAGGCCCGGTCCAGGCCAATTTTTTTTTTCTTTTTTTTTTGAATTTTTTTTAAGTTTTTGGGTTGGGCTGGGTATTTTGGGCCATTTGAGGTGGTTTGGGGTGGTTTGGGGTGAGGGGGAAGGGTTGGGGGTTAATTAGGAAAAGTAAAAAAAAATATAAATTGAACCGAGGCCCGGCCCGGCCCGGACTCGGGGGTTACTCGGGCCGGTTCCGGGCCTCCCCTTTCATGAACCGAGGCCCAGCCGGGCCCAGGCCCGAACCGGGCCCGAACCGGCCTGAGTCCAGGCCTACCTATAAGGTTCACAAGAAAACCCCTTATGAGCTATTAAAAGGAAGGAAACCAAATGTAAGCCACTTCCACATTTTCGGAAGCAAATGCAACATCCTGAACAATGGTAAAGGTCAATTCAAGATTTTCCAGAGGAAACCAAATGAAGGACTTTTCATGGAAAGTAAAAAGGAGGTTTTTTTTTACTTCGGTCGTGGATGCAGCTGTTGTCTTCCGTGCTATCTTCCTTTTTCGTGCCAAGTAAATAAGGGTTGGAACATATTTGGGGTGAATAGCTCAAATTTGGAGTTTTCACCCCATGTGTTGGGTGCAACCTTATATATAGAATATATATATTAGGATCGGCTCTATGTAAACTATGTTAGGATGGGCCTATTGTCTATTGACCAGTACGTGTAAACTCTGTTAGAAAGCGTGATGAGATAATGAGGTCCTGATTATTCTCAGAACGCCCTGGATTGAAATATGAGAAGTTACACTTCTTTATTATGAACGCCAAAATGTTCAGCTACTTAGTCTATAAGTAACCTCCAAAGTAATGGAGACAGTTAAAGATTGTGCCTATTAAATATCTCAATAGACTTTCATTTAAGAGATGTATATGAAGCATTTGTTATGCTTTTATTATCTCTAACCAAGTGATTTTGAATTACATTTACATTAAAACATTCACATTTGGATTAAATCAGCCAGACGAGAGTGACATATTCGTCTAAGTGGCCATTCAAATGGAAAGGGATGCAAAATGAATAGATTGTGCCTTGCGCATTTATAATGGGAATAAGTTCTGAATTTCCAAGTATCACTGTATCTCCATGATATAGACTTAATATGTACTCATAATGGAATATGAGACATGTTTGATATTTGAAAGCCATACTTGAGATTAAACATCTTGGGAAACTCGATTGTGTTTTGAAAACAGTGAGTTGGTTGAATTTTAATTCACCAGTTGCATATATCCTTAAGAAGTTCTCAGGCAAATTAACATGGATAAAATGCAACCTGTTAGCACTCTCATGATCGATCGAAATATGGATATATGAAAAGATACATTACCAATAAATTCGTGGGAAAAGGAATTCCCTATATAAGTGCAATGTGCTCATTATTGTACTTCGACAAACATATTCGACCAAATATTGCTTTCTCAAGAACATGTTAGTGAAAATAGCTCAGGACCAACAGAGTGTACCTCGTCATTGGAATGGTACCAAGAATGTACTTTCATATCTATTTGAAACCATTGACGTAATATTTATGCATCCCTTTAAATTTAATTAAACGATTGATAACACTATTATACATAAAGGAATTGAAAATATCAAAGTAGTGTGATTTGAGTTTATTGATGATGAATATCCTCTGATTTCGTTGGTACTCTTTTAATGAATACATATTTGTCATGAAAGAAATCAAGATGTTATGTACCAAATACCTTGATAAAAGTAAGTATCAAGTAAATGTTTGATTCTTACTGATGTGTTGCTCTTAGGGGCGAGTCTTGGCATACTTTATCATCAATTATATTGGTTTGTTGTGCTCTTTTTCCCTTTGATCGATGTTTATATTTTCCCATTAAGTTTTGTTAATTGGCAAAGTTTTTAGCATGTCAATAGTTTTTATTACTCTTATCACCTCACGCTTGGCACACAGGGGGAGAGTTAAAGGAAATATATTTATGCAGTTGTATGTCTTCACTAAGTAATTAATGTGCTAAGTAATTAATGTGACAAATTTGATTAATGTAAATATTAAGGGTAGATGTAGACTTGAGAGGGAATTCCCATCCTACATTACTTTAAACTCTTTTCCTTTAACCAAGTTTTATTTTTCTCAGTGGGTTTACTTGGTAAGGTTTTTAATGAGGTAACTATACATATAAACTTTAATGGTCAAAGCAAGGATCAAATAAAGATAGACTTAATGGAAGAAGCCTATATTGATGGTATACTCTTTTTCTCCGATCAAGATTATTTTTTCTCACAGGAATTTTGTTATCGACAGAGGTTTTTGACGAGTCAAAAGACAGATACCAAATTTTATTTACAACTCGACACAAGGGGACTGTTGAAGGAAATTCTATATAGTGTGTTATCGTTTATATAGAATATGTATTAGGATCATTCTATGTAAACTACTACCTTCGTCCCAATTTAGTTAGTCATCTTTGACTTTTCCGTTCAAAGATGGTAAACTTTGACCAATTATTTTAACTAATATATTAATACAAAATTTAATAATTTTATATTTTTATGATAGTATTTTTAAAAAAGAACATTTTCATATTATCAGTACTTTCTCTATATAAATATATAATCGGTCAAAGTTAGATGTCATTGACTTGAAAAGTCAAGTTTGGCTAACTAAAATGGATGGTACGGAGGGAGTATGTATTATGGGCCTGTTGGCATGTACTTGTACACTCTAATCTATACCTATTTATAGGGGCGTTTGGTAATGCTCTAATGCAACTCTACACAATTCTCCCTACAACAATTATAAATATATTTGTGTGTTAAACATAGAAAGAATGACATATGTATGACCTAGACACTTTTTATCATCAAAATCGACAACTCCATTAATCAAGTAAATCGTTAGCCAATTGGCTTACAATCGAAAGGGGTGCAACATCATATATAACCTTCTGATCTGAGATCAACACGTGTGCCCTTGCCAAAGCATGAGTCGCACGATTCACAGACCGTTTACAAAAAAGAGACAACAAAATTACTCTTTGATTCTAAAATATGCTTAATATCATCAACAATAAGGTGTAAATAAGCTGAACCGCTGCCCTTCAAAATTCCTTGAACCGTAAGCGCGTCCAACTCAAAAACCGCTCTATCCCAGCCTTTGGCCACCGCCTTCAACATCGCGTCCCGGATGCCAACTGCCTCTGTTTCCGCCGCAGACCAGTTTGCCAAGGTCGACGAACCTGCTGCCCTGACGAAGCCGCCATCTTCGTCGCGAGCCACCCATCCCTGATCCCCAGACTCTTATTCCCCCATTCTCGTTAACAGCACCGTCCACATTAACTTTTATAAAGGGAAAGTTCCCGAAATGGGACTAAAAAAGTTTGAAAATTCCAAAATAGGACTGTCATGTTTTTATTCCCAAAATAGGACTAATTACTGCCAAATTTGGAAAATACTGCCATGTTTGAAGTCTGGTACTGCCAAAACATGACAGTAACTAGTCCTATTTTGGGAATAAAAACATGGAAGTCCTATTTTGGAATTTCCAAACTTTTTTAGTCCCATTTTGGGTAATATCTCTTTTATAAAACCTCTATCTGGCCGCTACCATTTACAAACCTCGTTTGTAGCCCGCATCGAGGCTCGTGCCGGTTCTTGTTGAGCATCCTTCCGTCCGGAAACCATGCTCATGGAACCATTGATAACACTCGTTGTCGGGTCTTTCTGCCCCTTCCAGATCGTA